TCTGTCTCGAGCTATTCTAAATAGTTGCTCAGCTCTCTTTATTCCTGTCCACTCCCTGATATTCTTCAACCAAGAGGCCTGCTTTTTACCAATTCCTCTGCGTCCTTCTATTTTACCCATCATAATAAGTTGAAGAATATTATATTATGTTATATCGGTCTCCCCGATAATTACTTAAAACAACATATTGAGATATGTCCTAAATTGGAGTTATTTCTTATTGCAGGAAAAATACTCATATTCTTTACTTATCAAGTTGAGTTACAATTCTTCTTCTTCTAGTGCCATCTACACTACTGAAGGTTAGCTATAACCATTGCAAACACGTCTCAATTTTCTGATTTCCTTAAGAGCATCTGTGTGTTTAATTCTTGTCCAGTGGCGAATGTTCTTCAGTCTTTGAACTTTAGGATTTTATTATCTTTATTGCCCTCTGTTTCTATTTTCAGACGAGGAGGTTATTGTCTAAGGGGACATCTGCTTCAGGAAGAGTCTTAATGCTTACAATGGAATTTCTAAATCTTAGCCTGGTTAGAATAAAATCGATCTGATTTCTAATGCAATTTTGTTCATTATCCTGTGGTAACCTCCAGGTATACAGTCTATGGAGTGGTAATCGAAACCATGTGTTCATAATCGCCAGTTTTTTTTTAACAAAATTGAGCACATCTGTCGCCTCTAGCGACAGATTGGCTTGAGTTACAAACCAAAACTGCGCAATTTGGAAAAGTTTGACGTTTTTTGATTTCGATTTTTTAATGCCGCTATATATTTCTAAAACAACTCCCGCTATTTTTATGTCATTTTTTCCACTGATATCTTAGGTAGTTTTTTGTTGCATGTTAAATTTCTATTTAAACCAATACGAGTGTCTACAACTACACTAGGAGCAACATTTGTCAGTGGTCAATCTGGCAGACACATGTTGGCAAACACATAAACTTAAAATAAAGCATGTAATTTGCTTGTTTCTACCATAGTCATATACAGTCGTGCTCCCCCAGTGCAACAGAGAAAACTAATGCAAAGCAGTCCCTGCATCTATGTCTAATGGGCCATGATTTGCCGATCCAACAACAATTTGAATATCATATAAACCTTTACTGGTCTTCTCTGTAAACAATAAACCTATAACTGATATTTTCTACAGTGCTATAGTCTTTAATAAAGATACATTTTGACTAATCATAATTAAGACTTTTACCAATTTAATTTTTACCCCTATCCCCTATCAAGGAAACAACCTTTCAGGTGCTGGATTCCTCAGCTGGTCCGTCGGAGCTAAGGAGTGCCTCAGAAGCTTTATGCAGTAAGAAAAAATATTCCATCGGACCATCAAAGTTCGCTACGGCGAACTCTTTATTCGCACAGACATTTTCTGTGAGTTTTGACGATTCTAGCAAAAAGACTGAAGTTGAGTTGACGCGACCTTTGATGACAGCTACTGTTATCCTGACTATGTACAATCTAGAAGTGACTCAAGTAATAAAAATACAGCGGTTTATAATTATTTTTAAATGTGGCTTGTCACATTATTTCTATTTTAGATTAAAGTATAATTGTAGTGGCTTGTGACATGGCTTCTTATATTATTGCATTTTGTTGTAGGATAATGAACAAGGTCCGTCAATAAAGAGGACAAAACCAAAAACACCTGACAAAATTCCAACAAGTCGATGGACACAAAGAAATGCATTTTTGGCAATTTTTTTATCGTTTTGAGGTTGTTGTATTCTTGTTCTACATCCATATTTCTTTTCATCCCATTTA